ACTTAATAAACAATACTCTTAGATATAATTTGCAATATTTACTTCATTAGAGGAAAAACTAAAAATTGATAGATTATTACAAATGACACAATTCTCTGAATCCATTCTTGCATTCTTCTTCGCATAAATCAATTTCCCCAAACTTAGCAGAAGTTCTACATAATGGCAAAACAAATAATCATATACAGCATTGTAATGTTTAAGTTCTGTCACCACTATTTACGTGGTTTGCTATTTTATATGTAAAAAAGAATAACAAAATAGGAAAAACAGAATTTCACAAATACTTTCTGGTACAATTTTATGATCTACAATTAAGTCAATTTGCATAATAATTGGGAAAACTTGAAATGCAACCTATATATAGATAATTCTCAACTTACAACCGTTGATTTAGTGACCTTTCAAAGTTACAATGAAACTGAAAAAAAAGTGGCTTATAACCCTTTTTCACACTTATGACTTTTTAGAAATTTAGATGCTTGGCAACTGACTCATATTTATGATATCTGCTCTGTTATATAAATCCACCAAAAATGGAGCCTCTAAATCATTGCTACCTATTGCAGAAAGAAAAGATTAGTCATCAAAAACTAAAATGACCCTTTCCTTCAAACTGCATGTCATTTATTATTATTCTTGCAAAATCAATGAATCCAATATTGATTAGGTATTCAAATACTGCAGGGTTTCCTTTTTAAGCCTTAGTGATATAGAAAGAACAATAAGAACCATCCCTATCCAAGCTCACAAATCAGCAAATATTCTCCTGTGCCATACAATCGTAATGGCAGTCTTATCTGCAACATCCAGTTTTTGTTGTTGCTATAGAATGTATCTCCTATGACTATTTTCTACTCAATAACTTTGGTTTTAATGCTGGAAGTACTGAATGAGATTTTGACAAAAAATAAAGTGCCTGACTTATGGACAGAGGCATATGTTACACTTATACCAAAAGAAGATACTGACCACAATAAATAAAAAATTACAGACCAATATCCCTGCTAAATGCTGACTATAAAATATTTGCCTCAATAATAGGAAGACTAAAAGGATATTTAAATTACTTTATACATTCAAACCAAAATGGATTTCTGCCCAAGAGACAAATAAAAATAATATGAAGATAATATTGAATACACTGGAATACTATGAAACCCATTTACTGAAACAAATGGCATTAGTTTTAGATACACAGAAAGTGTTTGATAATGTGAATTGGCAATTTACGTTGATGCAATTGGAGGAGATGCGTTTCAGAGATAGATTCATCAAAGCAATAAAGGTGATATATAATAAGCAAATAGCAAAAGTAATGATAATGGAGAATTGACAGAAAAATTAACATTCAAAAAGGAACAAAGTTGTCCATTATCCCCACTGTTGTTTGTATTGACTTTGGAAGTATTGAATAGAAATATTAGGAAAAATGAAGAAATAAAGGGAATGAAAATAACAAAGAAAGAGTATAAATTACAAGTTTTCACAGATGATTTGGTCTTTATATTGGAAGAACCATTGGAAACAGGTCCTAAGATGATTAGAGAAATAGAGGAATTTGATGAGTTAGCAGGGCTGAAAATAAACAAAGAAAAAACAAAAATCTTGGTGAAAAATATGACAAAACAAAAGAAAAGACTAATGGATAAATTAAATATTCAAATTACAAAAAAAGTGAAATATTTAGGGATACAAATGACAGCTAGATGTGGAACATTTAAAGAAGATAATTATGATAGATTGCAACCACAGATTGCGATAGATTTGGAAAAATGGAAAAATTTACAATTATCTTTAATAGGTAGAATAGCGACAATTAAAATAAACATATTGCCAAAAATATTATACTTCTTCCAGCTGATTCCAATAAGACTGAAAAAATATTTTGAAGATTTAAATAATCTTCAAAGATTTAAATCTTCGAAGATTTAAATGTTGACATTTATTTGGCAAGGGAAAAAGACAAAAATCTGAAGATCAAATCTGAAAGATTATGACATAAACCAGTGGCTATCAGTAATACCAAAAAATCTTGGACAGCATTTACAAAATATGCACATTGATAAAATTTCCATTTGTGAACTGTAAAAAGCCACATTGTTTAGATCATACAACATCCTAATTTCTTGGGGAAAGGTGAATGAAGAAGACCAACTAAAGAACTAGCAGTTGTGATTTGATATTATTGTGACCATTATCATCATCATCATAATCATCATCACCTACAAGTTCTAACAGTATGGGATTTGCATGAACCTCGATGATGTAAAAATATTTTTTATGCTTCTGTAGCAAAATCCTCCTTTCCACTTGATACTGAAGCACTTATGAGGTTGACATTTTCTGGGTGGAAAACAGGATATACACTGCATGAATTGTTATCACAAATCTACAAACCTAGTTTTTATGAGCAGTATTGGAAATTCAGTTCTTAGAGTTTCCTGCTATACTCACTAGAAATTCTGGGATCAATATATCTGGAAAAATCCGGCTGAGGAAATCCAAATTGGAAAAGGCCATTTTATATATAGCAGCATTTCTAAACTATCTCAGAGTTCAGTCAGAATGCTGTATAATTCACATAATGTTTTTAAAAATCACTGGGCAATTTCTCAACTAAAAATGTATGCATTTTTAAATCATGCTATTTCAAAATGAGCCATAAAATAGGTTATTATATGCTGGGGCAAAATGAATATGCCATGAATTATTCATCTGCATGGAAATTTTTTGATACTTATCGGTGACATGAGTCATAGAACGCATTGCATTTTTGCATGATGTGTTGTTAATAATAAATAAGGATTTATCATTATATTATTATAGGAAATGCAACAGAAAGTATTAAAATTTCCTCTTCCACTGGTACCAAATGATTTACAGTACACCAGTTGATTCACTTAGGAGATGAAGGTGCTCTTTTCATTATTCCTGGTCCTATTTCCATACCATCCAATATCCAAGCAGCTGTGTGTGCAGTAATCCAAGACTACTGCAACTTGTCTGATCCCTGTGTGACCCTGATCATTCCAACTGAACTTGCATTGGACATTGTGCTATGACAGGGTTGACATTAAATAAAGTTTGCTACTCTAGACAATGCAACTACTATAGTAAGATTTTATATATATTGTATTTCAAATAAAATAGTATTATGTATTGCCTATAATAAAGCTGAAAGTAGAAGTAGCAGTTAAAATAGTAAAATTTCAAATTCTGGTTGAAATGATATTCTTTTACTATTTGAAACTAAAGGAGATATAGAAGAACTCGTTAATAAATTATGGACATTTCAGTAACAACAAAAATCAGAATAGTTAAACAATAGTGTTCACAGAAATAATTTATTTATTTAGCGTATGGCATATCATACATGGACTAGCAATATATATTAACATTTCATCTAGATTAGAAGAACACAATAAAATATAAACATTAAAAAGATCTATGTTCAAGTACCAAAGTCTAGGCTATCTAACCACTGAAGTGTAGCTTTGTCTATATTTTAAAAATTTGATAATGGACCCGTATATGCCTTCAGCTTACAGCTTGTAACCCCCAAAATTTTAACCTTAGACTGTCTACTATTGACCTCACCTCTTTCCTAAGAGGTCTGTAGGGGGCATGCATAAGCGCACCAACGTGCCTACCGTCCCTGTCCTATTGTTTCTTTTTATTTTTCTCATATGTATCCATTTCATATATTCATAACTATGTTTATACTTATACCTATTATCTTGTAATCGATTGACAAATCAAATAAATAAATAGTCACGATGTGATCTAAAGTTTGATCTGGGATCCCTCAGTCATGCTGATGGGAGGATATGATGCCCCATTTATACAGAGAATTCCAGCAGACACCGTGAGGTAGAAGTCCTATTCAGGATGGTCTATTGCTGACATGGTAGTTCAAAGCCTGGCATCTTTTTAAGGACATTTATATATCTACCTCTCACTGAGCATTCAGCAACCAATTTGGCTTTCCATTGGGAATTGATATTAAAGTTGTTAGGCAGATGTCGTGAATGTGCCAGTGGAGATTTCCTAGATTTGAGTCTCCTGTGATTAAATGTGGAAGGTCAGTACTGTTAGGAGTGTTCATAATTTTCTGTATTCTCTCACTAGTTTATCCAGCAATAACGTAGCTGTGGAAGTTTGACTCTGAGAAAGAATAGGAATTGTTTTGTCATCTTCAGATTTCGGATTTGGTTATGCTGTTAAGAATACTATACACAGTAAAATGAATATATCAATCAGTCTGGAATCAGATTAAAAACTGATTGCTTACTTGATCAATAGGTTGAAACACATAATTTAGGCAAGTGATGCCAATAAAATTGGCACTCTAAGAAAATTAATACTCTTCTATTCTCATCTATTGAAATTATGTTTGACAGAGCTCTGGAAAGTAAAAGTAATGTAAGAGATGATGAGTACTGTTTAACTGATGATGAAGAAAAGAAATTTCAGCAATGTCAGAGGAATCATAACAGTAAGCATTTGTCCCTATGGTCAGCTGGAAATTAGCCTTATTCCTTGACAGCTAATTTCTATAATTACATGTTTATGCTGAAAATACATTGACATTTTGGACAGTGTTACACTTCAGGAATTAGTGACTAGGACCCAGACACTGACATTTTGTTTTAAGGTACTAGTGACTAAGCCTGATACAAACAATATAATAAGAGGCTTTTGTTTAAAATGTAATTAAATCTAACTGGTCAATATTAGTAACCTTAATTAACAGGCAAGAAAATTTTTGGAAAGTCATCTGCATTTTTTGATAGGAAGCTCTTTTGTTTACAGAAGTTATCAAAACAAATTCTCTGCATTATTGCCATACATAATTAACACTGTCTTTTGATATTAAAATTAAGGTACGTGATATTGACGTCATGATAAAAGATTCTGTTGTTGCCTGCTGGTATAAAATGATGCTACTTTCTATGTGTTGAGATTTCGATCTCTTATGTAAGTTCAATTTAAGAGAAATGAACAGAGCGATCATAGTTACTTTAGCTACATGTCTGCTTTTAGCTTCAAAAACTATCTGCCACAATGAATCATTAATGATCAGTTTGCGGACTAGAGAAGAAAACAGTGAGAAAAACTCTTCTGAGGTAAGATCTTAACTGGCATTACTTTTTCCATGAAGATTGAATTATCATTATTATGATTAATGTATGTTCCTAATTTGCTGGAAGTTTTCTTTCTCTTGAAATAATAGGGACTTTGGTTTGTTTTTTGCCTCTTTTAGCTTTGTTATTCTTCTGCAGTGGAACAGGCTGCTGGTTTTGGTTCTTTTCATCCGCTTTGCAGCCTCTCTAACTACTTTTGAAATTCCTCTGGCTCATGAAAACCAACAAATTTCACTTCAGTGAAACACTGTGGGCCATGGAAGCAATTAAGATTGTTTTTTTTTTTAATTTTTGCTAAAGAGAAGAGGGTTCTTCAACAAAGCAATTTGAGTAGCATCAAATCCCTTTTAGCCTTCTCTCACAATGCTGGCCAAAACCAGACAACAATGTCCAACAGGGAAGATTCCTCCTGGTGCAGTGCTCATTAAAGAAGCCTCCTCAGAATGTCTCACAGCATGAGTTCCGTGGAAGTGGCAGAAAGGGGATCCAGATCAGAGCAAAGTGAAACATCGTGCTTGTTTCGTCCTTAGAAACAAAGGGTGGAAAGGTTGCTTGAGTCAAAACGTTACACAATCCTTCAATGTATAGGCTTTAGGGAGGAGTTCCTTTATGATCTAAAATAAACACTGTATTCCTCCATCTATTAAGAAAGGACTGATCGAAGAAAGAACAGGATTTTACATATACTCTACGGCAAATTCATTTGTGAGATAAGGACTAGAATTTTACTCCCATCCGTGTTGATTTTAGTCAGATATTCTTTTTTTGTAAACAATAACCGAAAACATTGAATCAATATCATAGTTTTTTAAAAAAAATCTTCCCCCAACATTATTTTTTTTAAAAAAATATTTCCCCTCTGCACCAGAAAGACAGAAAGAATCTGTTTCAATAGATAATTGTACAGATTGCATAAGAATCAAGGTATATTATACTCATATTAGTGTGTATAGCTTCATGAGTAAAGCCTGTTGATCAGAGTGTCACTTTGAACTTTGATTTTTCAAAGTTCAATAAAATGTTCAATAAAATGAACTTTTCATTATATTTCACTTTTGAAAAACAGGAATCATTTCTAAATAGATCTGTTTTCATTTTCCCCACAGGTTTTCTGTTTATTAGATCTATTTGTTAAATTTGTCCCCTTGCCCCTCCAAAGTAACAGTAATAATAACTCTTAGTGCTCCCTCATATTGTCTGCTTTTCTCTTCTATGCACATTTCTGTAAGAATGTTGTTCAGAAGAGCAATGATTAAACTGCATTTCATTTTATATATTGATTGGGAAAATACAAGCTGGATGGATTCATTTTAAACTCTACAAAATTAGCTTCCTTATCCTTTCTCCAAAAATTTAGAGAAATTCTTTTTCTTGTGCAACTAATTGTACAAAACTTCACCCAAGGTCTAATCAAAATCACATGGTATTAGAATGTTCATGCTATATTTTCTTAGTTACCCTTTCACTCTACAGCAGTAGAGCACCAGTGTAGTGAAACTATTCTACTTGTTTTTGCATTAGATTTCATTAAACAGCACAAATCCTTTCCTCTTCCACATATCTTCTCAAAGCATTGGTGCCAAAAATCATTTGCAACCCTTCGAGGAGTTAGGTGCACCTTTCCATGCCACATATGAGTCTGATTTCTTTGCTATATTTTTAATAGTATAAAATTGTGTTATTTGTTTCCCTTTCCAGTCTAATGAAGACCTTATAGAAGAAAAACAGAGAAGTGTGAATCTTGAAGAACTTAAAGACTGGGAACTGAAGAACATAGTTAAGATGAGTGGACCAGCTGGGAAGGCAATGCCAAGTTCAATGGCTAATTTGCCACTGAGATTTGGCCGAAACTTCCTGGAAAGAAGAAATATCAAACCTACAGCCAATCTGCCCCTCAGGTTTGGAAGGGCTTTTAGATATTTCTCACACAGTTCTGAGAAAACTCCTTCAGTTCAAAGTTTTTTCCATTCGCTAGCCAATCTACCAGAGAAATTTGGGAGATCTTTTCTTTTCAGTTTGATTCAAGGCACCCAGGATTATGACCAAATCAAAAATAGGTGAATAGTTTAAAGCATGCTTGATGAAATTATCATTGTTTTAAATGTTATTCCAGTGCCCAACAATAAGAATAAGTTTACAATTATTTGAGTTGGCACAACATATATTTCTAAATTTGTCAGCTAAATGTAATAGTAGCTTTGGCTATCAATTCATATAATCACTGCCCTACGTTTAATCATTTTTTCCCTGCTGTCATGTTAAAAAATACAATTAAGTGGCTATATTTGGAGGGCTACTGAGGAAGAAGAAATTAGCAAAGGGTAGGAAATGCATTATCAATTTAAATATTAAGCTTCAATGTTCAAACTGTTGGACAAAAACTTTTGAGGTGTTTTTAGGTTCTATTTAGAACATTGAAAAACCCATTTGATTTAGAATAGAATAGAATACTTTATTGGCGAAGTGTGATTGGACACACAAGGAATTTGTCTTAGTACAAATGCTCTCAATATACATTTAAAAAAAGATATATTCGTCAAGAGTCAAGAATCATAATAATAGTCATAGGGCACAATAAGCAATCAAATCATACTAGGAATATATCAGTATAAATCGTAAGGATACAAGTGACAAAGTTACAGTCATACAGTCACAAGTGGGAGGGGATGGGTGATAAGGAGTGATGAGAAGATTAATAATAATAATAATAATGCAGACTTTGTAAATAGCTGGACAGTGTTGAGGGAATTATTTGTTTAGCAGAGTGATGGTGTTTGGGAAAAATTGTTCTTGTGTCTAGTTGTTCTGGTGTGCAGTGCTCTATAGCATCGTTTTGAGGGAAGGAGTTGAAACAGTTTATGTCTGGGATGTGAGGGGGCTGTAAATATTTCACAGACCTCTTTTTGACTAGTGCAGTATACAGGTCCTCGATGGAAGGAAGGTTGGTAGTAATAGTTTTTTCTGCAGTCCTAATTATCCTCTGAAGTCTGTATCTGTCTTGTTGGGTTGCAGAACCAAACCAGACAGTTATAGAGATGCAGATGACAGACTCAATAATTCCTCTGTAGAATAATTCCTCTGTAGTTCATGTGATATAATAGAACCTATAAATTTGAAGGTCTCTACTGTTGATACTGTATTGTCTAGTATTGTAAGAGGTGGTAGTATGGGAGGCTTTCTTCTAAAGTCTACCACCATTTCTACGGTTTTGAGTGTGTTCAGTTCCAGACTGTTCCGGTTACACCACGAGGCAAGTTGTACAACCTCCTGTCTGTATGCAGATTTGTCATTGTCTCGAATGAGACTAATCACTGTTGTGTTATCTGCAAACTTCAGTATTTTAACATATGGATTGTTTGAGATGCAGTCATTGGCTTATAGGGAGAAGAGAAGTGGAGATAGCACACAGCCTTGGTGGGTTCCCGTGCTAATTGTATAGGTATCAGAGGTGATTCTGCCTAGCTTCTCCTGCTGCTTCCTGTCTGTTAGGAAGCTTATGATCCACTTACAAGTGTGTTCAAGTACTGCTAACTGGTTTAATTTAGTTAGAAGAATGTCTGGAATGATGGCATTAAATGCTGAACTGAAGTCTACAAAGAGGATCCTTGTGTAGGTATTTGGAGATTCAAGGTGTTGTAGGATGTAATGCAGAGCCATGTTAACAGCATCATCTGCCGATCTATTTGCTTAGTATGCAAACTGCATGGGATCTAACAGCGGATCTGTGGTGCCTTTCAGATGGGACAGAACTAGCCTTTCGAAGATTTTCATAACTACAGATGTTAGAGCAACTGGTCTGTAGTCATTCAGTTCCTTGATGGAGGGCTTCTTTGGCACTGGGATCATAGTAGAGCATTTGAAGCAAGAAGGAACATAGCACATCTCTAGTGATTTATTGAAGATTCGGGTGAAGATGGGGGTCAAATGGTCAGCACAAACTTTTAAGCAAGAAGTAATTATCTTGTCTGGCCCTGGTGCTTTTCCTGGCTTTTGTCTGTGAAATAGATCTTGCACTTCTTTTTCTGTGATCATAGTGAATTAAACAGTGAAGACTAGTTATTGACTAAAATAATCTTAATAATAACTTTTTTCTTTCTCTCTCTCTTCCTCCCTCTCTCCCTTCCTTTTTTCTTTCTTTTCAGACTTGGCCAATTGAGCAAACTTTTGAAAAGGAATTCTGGAAATGAACAGGCAAGCCATCAAAATATACAGGACCAATTTTCTTTCTGAAATGCCTATATGATAGAAAGAAAAAATGGAAAAAGAAAAATGTCTGCTGTCAAATTGTGGTTCAATCCAGAGCATTTGTCCTTAGCTAAACATATATATATAAGTTATCATGATAACATCAGTAATAGTTTATTCTCATAGCTATGCTGTCAATACTAATTCTTCTGTACTTGATACAACTAATATCCAGTCAGTTGAAAAAATATTATCTGTATAAGCAAAATAAAGATGAATGTAACTACTTGTGATTATATCATATATTAGTAGAGGCATGGGGTGGGGGTGGTGGGCAGTGTCAGAAAAAGTCAATTTGGCATTTGTAACTGCTGTATTGAAGCTCTTCTGTTTCTTACGTGAGGTAACACAAAGAGGGCAGGACAATCACAGCCAGAATCCTGACCTACACACACACACACACACACACACACACACACACACACACACACACACAAGTTTACAGGTGGCTCCTTTGTTTGCCTTCCAAATACATATCATTGTCCCTTTATTCTACATCTTGAAATGATAGGATGCTATGCATAGGGGAAAGAGTGGATTTTTTTCCTTTTCATCATAATAGTATAATCATCTAAGAGGTGTGAAAATGTGATAATTCAGACAGAATGGACAAAGAAGGTGATTGGTAGTTTATTATGAGCACAGATATTGAGCTGGAAAAGGACAGAATTAGAAGCTAAATAGAAATCATGATATTTCTGTTTTGCTTTTTTATCCAAAATAATGTTTGTGAACTGAAATGTAGAAAATGTAGACTGAAATTATTCCAAAGGTGCTTTTTCAAAAGGCAACTAAACTTTCTGATTTTTCTTTGAAGATGTTTCGCTTCTCATCCAAGAAGCTTCTTCAGTTCAGAAGAAGCTGAAAGTCCAGTTGCCTCTTGAAAAGCACCTTTGGGACAGCCATAACCTGGATGACTGAGAATCTCTATAGACATTTAGACTGAAATTACACTGAGCCAACTCCTTGCTGGTTATTGTTAGAAGAGTCAAAACAATAGTGGCAAATATCTGTGTAGGATGAGGGTGAAGGTTCGTTCTCCGAGCTTTTGGAGATTCAAAATGTTTGCAAAAAATTTTCTATGGATAATTCAGGATTCAGTATAGAGTGAGAGGATAACTAATAGAGGTAATTCTCAACTTACAACATTCAAAGTTACAATGACACTGAAATAAGCAACTTATAACCAGTTTTCACACTTACAATCATTGTAGCATCCCTAATGGTCATGTATCAAAATTAGGGTGCTTGACAACTGACATGTCTAATCCTACGTAGCTTTTTCTCTGGTAATATCACACTACTAACTAGAGCATACAAAACATTTGCTAGACCAATACTTGAATACAGCTCATCAGTCTGGAACCTACACTACATATCTGATATTAACACAGTAGAGAAAGTTCAGAAATATTTCACAAGAAGAGTTCTCCACTCCTCTACTCATTGCAGAATACCTTATGCCACCAGACTTGAACTTCTAGACCTAGAAAACTAGAACTACGCCGCCTTCAGTCTGATCTAAATATAGTATATAAAATCATATATTGCAATGTCCTACCCGTCAATGAATACTTCAGCTTCAACCATAACAATACAAGAGCACACAACAGATACAAAGTCATGGTTAACCATACCAAACTTGATTGCAGGAAATACGACTTCAACAACAGAGTGGTCAATGTCTGGAATACTTTACCTGACTCTGTGATTTCTTCACCAAACCCCAAAAAAATTTAACCTTAGACTGTCTACTATTGACCTCACCCCCTTCCTAAGAGGTCTGTAGGGGGCATGCATAAGCGCACCAGCGTTCCTACCATCCCTGTCCTATTGTTTCTTTTATTTTTCTTATATGTATCCATGTATTCATAACTATGTTTTTACTTATACCTATTATCTTGTAAACAATTGACAAATCAAATAAAAAAAATAAAAAAACATGTATTTATGCTAGTTGCACTGTCCAGAGGCTGGCTTCCGAGAAGCAATGTCAGATTCACTTAACAATCTCATGATTCACTTAATAGCTCAGTGATTCACTTAACAACTGTAGCAAAAAGATTGTAAAATGGGACCAACTTACTTAACAACTGTCTTGCTTAGCAATGGAAATTGTTGTCTTAGCTTGAGGACTACCTGTATTTTTAGATCAGCCACAGTCCAAATGAAAATCATGCAAACACATAGATATGCTAATTGCTCAACACAACTAACAAAGAAAAGGGTTTCTTTGTCTTTTATTTGAACCATAAGTACTTAAGGGAAGAAGGTGAAGCTACATCTATCTTTCCCACAGATTCCAATCCCTCCCTCTGGTAAGAATTGCTATTACTTTTATTATTATTTTTGAAGCACCAGAGATGATGAAAATGTTATAGTGAGTCAATTCAGGAGAATTGAAAGTTTAGGAAACTTTTTGTAGCAGCCAAGACTTTGCTGCAGCATATTTGCCTTCTCACCTCCAGTTTTGCTTGTGTGATACAGACACTGCAGTTTTCAAGATCCAGTTGTTCAGCAGCAGCAGCAGCAACTAACACAAGCTGCAAGTAACTATAGCACTTGGCAAGCTTTTGTTCATCCAGAAGCATCTGGAGAAGTGACAGGGCAACAAGGAGAATATATGCCTTATGGAAGATGCCTATGTGCCCTCCACCACCAAGAAGGAGAAGGAGAAGGAGAAGGAGAAGGAGAAGGAGAAGGAGAAGGAGAAGGAGGAGAAGAAGAAGGAGAAGAAGAAGAAGAAGAAGAAGAAGAAGAAGAAGAAGAAGAAGAAG